CCAGGGAGGATGGCCATGCCACAATGCCTTCTCCTCCATTCTCCTCTCGCAATCTTGGGCACGCATGCACATGTGCCCGGCGTGAGTTTAAGCCAGAGGGTCCAGGACACGAATTGGAGTCGACTACGTGGGAGTCCAGTGACATAGCCATTACGCTAACTGTTGGTCCATGTTTTGCTAATGTATTTTTAAAAGTACACTTTGACTAGGTAGGGTCTTTCCTAGGGATGCAAAAATGGCCTGGCATGAAGAAACATATAACCATATCTTTTACCACATTAAAAGAAATAAAGAGAGGCCAGCTTCATGGTGCAGAGGTAATGCACGGCTCAAGATAAGCTGGATCCCACATGGTGCCTGCAGTTCTAACGCCCAGCCCAGGCAGCCTGAAACCCACTGGGTCTGCACAGAGTGTCCAAGGCCTGCCAGGGTGGAGGACTGAAAGGAGATCACAGCATGACCAGACCCTGTGGAGGGCGCTCATCTCTCTCTCTCTCTGTGTATGTGCATGTACTCTATAAATAAAGAAAAAAATGAGATTAAACCATGTGATAACCTCATGGTGATATGCCAGTTATCGAGATAATCTCAAATGTCAAAATTCAACATCTACTTGATGTGTTGAACCTGATGAAATTTTCAGACAGCTAGAAACAGAACAAAACTTCCCTTCATAATGCTATACATCTATCATTACTATTCATCTCTAGAATTCTTCTCATCCTGTAAAATTGAAACTTTAAACAGTAATGTAGCTTGATTACAAGAACTTTCATAACATATAAAATACTGTCACAGGGCCAGCTCTGTGGTCTGATGGATAAAGCAGTCAGATTCCACCTGGTGACTACATGATTCAAGTACCAGACTTGGCAGCTTTAGAAGCACACTGGGCACACGCATGCCCAAAATTCTGAAAGGAGTAATGATGGAGAAGGGGTTGCTTGTGACCATTCCCCACGGGGGAGTGGATTCTCTTCTCCCTCTCAATGACAAGCACACATGTCCATTAGCAAATACACACACACACACACACACACACACACACACACACATGCACACGCACATACGCTCATATATACATATGTGTATGTATGTACACGTATATGTGTATGTGTGTATGCATATATGTACATATCTGTGAGCGTGTGTGTGTATATATATAATTAAAATAAAATACTGTCATACATATGTTTAACAACTGGAGTATCCCTATAAACTTACGCTTTCTGCATAGCAAAGTAATTCAGAAAGCTTCTTGCTTGCAGGAGGCAAGTGGTGACTAGGCGGTATACTTGGCAGTCCAGAAGCCTGGTTTGAAGGGTTCTTCAGCTTTAGGTTGAAGAAGCGTGACCTGAATGGAATTGCGGCCTCTGCGCCCACGCTGGGGACATGAGCTCCTCTCTGCAGTGAGTCTACACTTTCCTTTTGGCAAAATTCTACGACAGCATAGAGGCCCTGTACCAAATAGGTAAGAAAAAAACAGAACACACTTCACAATAATACATTTAACAGCTTACTTTAGATCTTATTTCAAACTATAATGCTATGAATCATTACTTTTAAAAATCTATAAATGATACAATTCTAACATGAGCATTGGTTTTCTTCATTTTAAGAGATTAAGAAAAGGAATACTACAAAGTGTTATCAGTCAAGAGAAGTTAAAAAGAAGGCTGACATAGAAAACTGAAAAGCAAAACGAAGATCCCCTCCCACCTGCCTTTATTCCTAAAATAATGAGAATACCTAAGTATTCAAATAAAGAAATAATTCAGTCATAAATTACTTGTAATTCCGAAACACTGCCCCCAAAATTCCTATTCTCATATTTCCCCCATTAAAAAAAAAAAAAAAAGAACCATCATTAGAGAAATTTAGATAAAGTGGTATAGGATATCAAAAGAATCTCACAGGACATACTACAAAAGGCGGCAACAAAAAATAGCTAATGGAGACCTCTATTATTCAAAAGTATGACAGACTTTTTCAAATACTTACAAAACTTTCATAGAAGAAATGATTGTTAATAGGTCCATGTTGCGATAAATACTTGAGAAATTTCTTTTCACTGAGCTTATTTGGACAAAGTATTAAGACGGTCCGCTGCGCCTGTTCTCGTCTTTCTTTTTGCAAATCAGAGAATCTCTTTGTGGGAGTTCTGTCTTCAGAGCCTATGAATGAGACAAAGACGTTTCCAGCACACGTGCACACATACACACGTAAAACGTAATGTATACTTTAATAAGGTATATGAAGACTTTCTATATGACTAAGAACAACTTCATCCCTAATCTCATGTTTGCTTCTCTTCTACAAGGGTTATGCTATATAATTCTATCTTCAACTGTCATTTTACTACTCTCCTGTGACTATCATTAAAACTGTCTCCTTTCTTGGTTTTGATTTACTATTCTTGATGCATAAACTAAAACTGAGTCCCAAACATGTTAAAACCAGAATCAGGAAAGTAAAATCACTCATTTTTAACATTCAAAAATATATATACATAAAAAGTTTGTACAAATGTTAATATTCCAAAGCCGAAATCATTACAAGCCTGAGTGTAAATATTAATAACCCACTGTCCACAAAGGGAAGATCAACAAATTAAGAATGAAGAAAAATCACCAAAGTACTAAGAGTATACTAAAGGCAAAAACTGAATTTTAACAACTCATTCCCCCCACCAAGATATTTAACTATGAGTTGAGTAGTTTAAAGCGCTTCTTTTAAAAAATCTAGAATGGTAGACTAGAGAGAGTATAAACGACCAACTCTGATATCAACAACCTCAATGGAATTCCAAAGAGATTAAGTAGAGTAGAAAATATAACTGATGTATGGAAATTAGCAGAAGCTTTTAGTCTCATTTTATTTTAAAAGGTTATAAAAGTGACAGATCAAAGTAGTACTCCAATGCATCATCTTTTATTTCAGTAGACTCCATGACACTCTAGTGAATAAGACAGAGAAATAGGGGTTGATGGCAGTAGGAGTTGGCTGAACCCTAAACTGTGCTCAGTAACTTCAGTCTAAAGGGAAGTCTCTAATGGCACACCGAAGAACTCTTGGCCCTGACCTGCTCAACCTCTTTAACAAGTGATCAAACACATCGAACACCTCTCCTATGCTGGCTATGCTAATGCTTCAAGTACATATCCACCACTAGTACTAACTCTTTAACATCGATGCTTACTTCAGGACTGTATTACTACACGGACTCCTACACTAGTCTCATCCACCCCAGTCTTGTCCTTCGTAAGCCATTCTCCACATTGCTGCCAAAAACAATCTTAAAAAAAAAAAAAAAAAAAAAAAAAAGTCTTAGGGGACCAGGAGATGGCCTAGTAGTTATATTGCTGGAGTCCCACATGCTGGATTCCACCACGGTTCAAGTCCTGGACCTGGTGGCTTGAAAATCACACTGGGTACATGTGCATGTGTGCCCAAAATCCTGGGAGGAGAATAGAGAAGGGATTGCAGCATGGCCATTCCCTCTCTGAGGGGTGATTTCTCACTTTGCCTCTCTCTGTCTCAGTCTCTCGCTAGCAAGCATATGCACCCTAAGGCAAAAACCTTCTTTAAAAAAAAAAGTCTTATTTATTCACTTCCCTGCTGAGACTCCTTTATTAGCTTCTCCATTGCTTTCAAGATCAAGGATAAACTAGAGCTTGGGAGTAAAACTATTGGCCCTTTGGCCCATCTTCCCTCTTCAATGTCAGTTTTTATCATTTCTGCCTCTTGCATTTTTTACATACAGTACTCTACAAACACACTACTATCACATACTACGAACTTTCTAAGTTTTCTACCCTCTGATTGGAATGCCCACCTTCTCATTTTCTGTCTGGCAAACTCCCATGCATCCTCCAAATCTTGCTCAGTTCTGAAGATGTCTGACTTTCCATAGTAGAATCTCCTCCACCTCTGTGTTAAGTTACTATAAAATCTGTGAAGGAATGTAATTCATAGTGTTATGTTTAAAATGGAAGAATATCTTCCATATCGAGTACAGGGATTTTTCTTATTCAATTTGATCTCAGTCTGACTGTTCTCCTTCCAATAGGCTACATCCTTTTCGTCTTATACAGGCTACTGGCTCTATCACCTTGACACTCCGTTGTGATGACCACCTACACATTCTTATCTCTGATTTTTACCTTGAGTCTAGACTAGTATCCAACTGTTTACTGTAAAAGTAGAGCCCAACCGTGTAAAATTGTATAAAGTAAGAGTATAAATCCTGGCCCAGTCCTCTTACATTGAAAACAACCACACATTAAGTTTGGTAATGATCTTTCTCAGTGTTTTCAAGGCAAATATTAGCATATCCATTAGTATCCAAAGACAAAAATCTTTTACACAATTGAAATTACTGAAATCATACTATACATTCCATTCTATAACATACTTTAATGTTAAATGGGGAATCCCTTTCAGCATCAGTAGACATGTATTTACTTCTTGTAATAATTGTGAAAGTACTCTTATATGTGTATCTATCATAATTAAATCAACAGTCTACTGACAGGGAGGAGGCTTGCCAGTTTTTACTATTACAAACAATACCGCAATACCATCTGTACAGGATATCTTTGCACATGTATACAAGTACAGTCATATACAGCATAATGATGTTTCAGTCAACAGATGACGTATGTGACAGTGGTCCCATAAGACTGTAATAGGCTACACCAATATTACCTTGGTGCGTAGTAGGCTATACCATCTAGGTTTGTATTTCGCACTCTATAATGTTCACACAATGACGAACTCTCCTAACGACATACTTTTCAGAATGCATCCCCATTGTTAAGCAACACATATCTATGTATAAAATGCAAGGTTTATTAAAACACCTTTTTTGTTGTTTTTTTAATCTAAATTCAAGGGGTTATAGTACTTTTGGCTATTTACTGGTCAAAACATATACAAAGTATAGTTCTACTCAGGACTAATGGCTACAAAGCATTTTATCAGTAATAAGCTAGAGGACATTCAGAGAGAAGTAACAAAAAGTCCAAAAGCTGTGATAAAGAATTGCTATAAAGGCACTAGCAGTTAACGTAATGCCTATGTCAACGGACTCCCATGTAGTCGACCGCGGTTCGTGTACTGGACCTGGTGGCTTAAACTCACGCCAGGCGCGTGTGTGTGCGTGCCCAAGATCCCGAGAGGTGAATGGAGGAGAAGGGATTGCGGTGTGGCCATCCCCCCTGGGAGGTGATTTCTCGCTTTCTATCTCTGTCTCTGTCTGTCTGGCCAGTGCACGCGCCCTATAGCAAAAACCTCTCCAGAAAAAAGAAGAAGAAAAAAAAAAAAAAAGAATTGCTATAAAGTGGGGATTTAAGGCCTTGGGGAAAAATATTAATGAGGAACTGAAAACTGCCTTCAAATATAATAGCGCCTTCTCATTGAGCAGCACATTACAGCTTTCCAAGTACTGTCACGCTCTCTTCTGAACCTAGGAATAACATTTTAATCGGTATCATTACAGGTAAAAAAGCTGAAAGTCAAACATCAAAAAGCTGGGATGCCTCTTGTAGAGCTTAGCTGTCTTTCGGTTGCCTGGTATCTGCCCGCCTTGTTTTGGAACAGCACAAAACAGCTTTCAAAAAAATCACTCTACAGTTATTCTAACCCATCACATGTACTCTACCTCATTAGAGGCCAGGATTATCAGACTACTTGGGATCTCTTCTCTTGGTTCAAAGGGTAGGCATGAGATCAAATGAAGTTCTTTCTTTGAACTTTTCAAATTCAAGTAAAAGATTATTTCACTACCCTATTTGGAGAAAGCTGCAAAACAAATCTGTATTTACAAGGCCACTAAACAATAGCTGAGCGGGACCAGCAGTTAGCGTAATGGCTATGTTGCTGGACTCCCACGTAGTCGACCGCGGTTCGAGTATCGGACCCGGTTGCTTAAAACTCACGCCGGGCGTGTGTGTGTGCGTGCCCAAGATCCTGAGAGGAGAATGGAGGAGAAGGGATTGCAGTGTGGCCATCCCTCCTGGGGGGGTGATTTCTCGCTTTTTGTCTCTCTGTCTCTCTCTGTCTGTCTGGCGAGCGCACGCGCCCTATAGCAAAAACCTCTCCAAAAAAAAAAAAAAAAGAATAGCTGAGGAAAATAATCCTATCTCGCACTAACTGCATCAATCCAGCACATCTTACAGCAGCTACTCGTGACTCTTTCTGGAGGTGGGTTACATAGGTTGGTATATCTTCCATTTCTCCTTAAGTTAATTTGGGTTTCTTTTACTTGTATCTCAAGAAGTCCTAAATAATACACTATATACTCTTTCCACTACTTACCTGAAAGCGATGTCAAAACTAAGATGATCATGGATATGGTATATTAGTACATTTTAGTTCATTATAAATATTTTTAACCATTTCAGCATGACCAGAAATAGAACTGGCCGATTCATGAAACAGTGTGTGTTCATCCTTGCTACAAAATACTACTAAGAAAGTTTGACAAGGAATTCTCATACTGAATGACAACTGAATTGGAGGAACCAGCAGGTGGCACGGTGGTTAAGGTGCTGGGACCCCACAGCTTGAAAATCACACTGGGTGCCTTTGTACGTGCCCAAAATCCCAACAGAAGAATGGAGAAGAAATGTGGCCATCCTACCTGCGGGGGGGTGGGGGGGTGAGGGGGATGATTTTTCACTTTCCCAGCAAGCACACCTGCTCTATGGCAAAAGCAAAAACAAACAAACAAACAAACACCCTGAATTGGGTATTTCTCAAGTTCCTTCCAAATCTAAAAGTACAACCTTCTAAGTGAGTATAAGGTGCAGTTACCTTCTCTAATAAAATGGTAAATAACTTCAAAGGAGGATTTTGTTATTAGTGCCTTACAAGAGTCCCTGATGGTTTAGTCAGTTACGTTACCCTAATGATACAAAATGAAGTATTTCCTTAAAGAAGAAAAACACCAAAACTGAAGTGAAGAGTAATCAGAAGTGGGTTTTTGTTCTTACCTATGCCACTGAACAGCTGGGTCTATCTGAACTAGCTACTTGGACTAGTTTTCTCATCCTTGAAATAGAGTTAATAATAATTTCTTCCTATCCCACAGGATTGTTTCAGGCCTCAAAGGCACATAAAAACACTTTCAAACTACTATAGAAATGTTAAATGACAATAGCTTCTTTGGCAGGATTCTTACTCAAACTTTAGGATTACTTAAAATTTTTCAACAAAAACACCTTCTACTATTTCAATAAAGAATCAATGTAAGGACCAGCAGTTAGTGCAATGGCTATGTAGCTGGACTCTCATGTAGTCGACTGCGGTTTGAGTCCCGGACCCGGCGGCTTAAACTCAAGCCAGGCATGTGTGCCTACGTGCCCAAGATCCCAAGAGGAGAAAAGACAAGGGATTGTGGCATGGCCTTCCCCCTCGGGGGTGATTTCTCGCTTTTTGTCCCTTCGTCTGTCTCTGTCTTTCTGGCAAGTGTATGCATCCTATAGCAAATACCTCTCAAAAAAAAAAAGAAAGAAAAAAATCATATAAAGATGGGACCAGCAGTTAGTGTAATGGCTATGTCGCTGGACTCCCATGTTGTCGATCGCAGTTCGAGTCCCGGACCCAGTGGCTTAAACTCACGCTGGGTGCATGCCCAAGACCCCCAGAGGAGAATGGAGAAGGGATTGTGGCGTGGTCATCCCCCCTGAGGGATGATTTATTTTCTGTCTCTCTGTCTCCGTCTTTCTGGCGAGGGCATGCGCTCTATAGCAAAAACCTCTCCGAAGAAAAAAAAAAAGAATCATATAAAGAAATATTTCTCACTCCATATTGATACAAGTGTTTCAGTAGGATGAAGGCAGAAATTTATTTTAAAGGAAAAAAGTTTACTTCTTTTGCATACTTTTGCACCGTCCCCAGAAATAACTACATCTCTTGAAACTATAGTTCCAAGTAATGGTAGAAATTAACACCATCTGTATGACAGCTTGATTCCAAATCAAGACTCGTTCAACAGCTGTAAAATGAAGACAGGGATATACTTCTTGTGAGACTGTTTTAAGAAGTATAAAGACCATACACAAGCTCTTAGGTCATAAGAAGGATTCGATTATAGCAGGCTTTCCAATACACAAAGCAGAATATTAACTTAGAACAGACCACAGCCTGTTCCGATGGATGCAAATGTTACTATTTCGCTCTTAAAATGGCCAAAAGAGTAAAATAAAAGGCAGTATATTTCTTATGAAGAACTCTCCACCTGGGAACCAGCATCCCGGTAATTCCGCGGTCACTCGTCATACCCGGTCTCCGGCAACAACTTGCTGATACCCAAATCAGACACGCTGGAGAATGATGCGGCAACTGATGCCCGCCACTGCCCTAACTACTGGAAACACTACTTCAACACAGTGCCACGGTTGCCGCTGCAAGCAAACCGAGGGCTTGGTCTGAAGCTTACGAGGCTGAAACAATTTCATTGCTGTGCACACAAGTCGCCCCGAAGAACAAGACGTCACACCTGCCACGGCTGCTTCAGCAGAGGCAGCGGCTCGGGGCTCCCTGGTGAGCAGGAGAGGACCGGACACTGCCCCCTTCGGGCCAGAGTCTCCGGAGCCTTTTCCACCCGCCACCCGCACGCCTGCGACCCCAGCCCCGGCCCGCGGGGGAAGGAGCTTCAGGGCCTGGGAAAGCGCGGCGTCGTCACCTGTCTCCACGCTCCCCGAAGGCTGCTCTTCCTTTCTGAGGTCTGCGGCCACAGTTCCCGCACAACTGAGAAGCCGGACAAAAGGACGCTGGACCTGACTTCTCTGGGCACATAGGGAAAAGCGGGTCAACAAGCGCACACCTCGAGCCGCCATGGTCAAAGGAGCGGAACGCGAAGATAAAGGTCAGCGGACTTCCGCGCATGCGCCCTGAGGTGGCGGGAACGGGAGCCCTAGAGGGACAAACTAGGCTAAAGTGTTTGTGTAGCCGCCCCCCCTGCCACGGCTGCTTCAGCAGAGGCAGGGCCTCGGGGCTCCCTGGTGAGCAGGAGAGGACCGGACACTGCCCCCTTCGGGCCAGAGTCTCCGGAGCCTTTTCCACCCGCCACCCGCACGCCTGCGACCCCAGCCCCGGCCCGCGGGGGAAGGAGCTTCAGGGCCTGGGAAAGCGCGGCGTCGTCACCTGTCTCCACGCTCCCCGAAGGCTGCTCTTCCTTTCTGAGGTCTGCGGCCACAGTTCCCGCACAACTGAGAAGCCGGACAAAAGGACGCTGGACCTGACTTCTCTGGGCACATAGGGAAAAGCGGGTCAACAGGCGCACACCGCGAGCCGCCATGGTCAAAGGAGCGGAACGCGAAGATAAAGGTCAGCGGACTTCCGCGCATGCGCCCTGAGGTGGCGGGAACGGGAGCCCTAGAGGGACAAACTAGGCTACAGTGTTTGTGTAGCGGCTTCTGGGATAACTTAAAAATATAATAAATGACAGCACTCTTTTGCTACACACCGTTCTAGGTACATGTATTGACTTTTTTCTTTAAGTTTTTTTTGGCCGTAAGATATGAGTGCTTACCAGAAAGAAACACAGAGGAAAGGAAAGTGAGAAATCACCACCACCCACTCCCAGGAGGATGGATACACTGCGGTACCATCTACATTCTTCTCTTGGGATTTTGAGCACGCATGTTCACGTGCCGGGCATGATTTTCAAGCAGCCAGGTAGGGGACTCAAACCGCGGAGTTGGTGCCAGCAGTTGGCGTAATGGCTATGTCGCTAGACTCCCATGTAGTTTACCACGTGGTTCGAGTCCCAGACCCAGTGGCTTAAACTCACGCCGGGCGCCTGTGCGTGCGTGCCCAAGATCCTGAGAGGAGAATGGAGGAGAAGGGATTGCAGTGTGGCCATCCCCCTTGGGGGGGGGGGTTTTTTCCCTTTCTCTCTCTCTCTCTCTCTCTCTTTCTGATGGGCGCATGCACTATATAGCAAAAACCTCTCCCCAGAAAAGTAACTGCAGAGTCAGCCATGTGGCATCCTGCGCCTTAACCGCCACTCCATTTCCTGGCTCCTGTATTGACTCTTTTAACCACAATGCTGTGCGCCAAGAGCTACTGTTTTTATTTATCTACTTATAGAGAAACAACAGCATAGAAAACTTAAATAATGTTCCTAAACCTACACAGCCTGGCAGGAGTAGAGATGGGAGTTGAAATAACAACATCTGGTAGGTTTCTTTTTATCATTTTGCAACAGCTTTATTGAGATATAATTTATACATGCACTCCTTTAAGATATACCATTCAGCAGTTTTTAGTAGAGTTGTGCAACAATCACCACAAGCATTTTGAGAATATTTTCATCACCTCCTAAAGAAACTCTGGTCCGGGGTCTGCAGGTGTCTTGGTGATTAAGTAACCACTTACCTACTTTCTATGTCTATGGAATTACTTATTCTGGACATTTCATATAAATGGAATTGTATAATACATAGTCATTGGTGACTGGCCTCTTTCACTTAGCATAGCGTTTTCAAGGTTTACCCAAGCTGTAGCATATGTCAGTACTTCATTCCTCTCTGGCCAGGTAGTACTCCACATATGGTTATCTATGCATTGGTTAATTGATGATTACGTGGTTTCCACCTTTTGGCTTTTATAAGTAATGCTGCTATAAAACATTCATGTACATGTTTTTGTGTGAACATATTTTCACTTCTCTTGAGTATATACTAAGGAGAGGAAGTGCTGGATCACATGTTCATGCAGTTTATCCTTCGAAGGAGTTCGCAGGCTATTTTTTAAAGTTAATGCATTACTTTAATTCACCAGCAGTGTATCAAGGCTCTGATTTCTGCATCCTTGCTGATACTTGCCATTCTGGTGGGTGTGACATGATATTTTGATGTCACATTAGTCTATTACTATGTTTCTTTTTGGAGAGGTTTTTTTTTGTTGTTGTTGTTGTTTTTGGCTATAGGACACATGCGCTCTCCAGAAAGACAGAGACAGAGAGACAGAAAGTGAGAAATCACCTCTCAGGGAGGATGGCCACACCATAATCCCCTCTCCTCCATTCTCCTCTCGAGATCTTGGGCACACACACACACACATGCCCAGCAGGAGTTTAAGCCACCAGGTCCAGGACTCGAACCATGCTCGACTACATGGGAGTCCAGTGACACAGCCATTATGTTATCTGCTGGTCCCTATTACTATGTTTTTTACAGAAGAGGACTCGAACCATGATCGACTACATGGGAGTCCAGTGACACAGCCATTATGTTATCTGCTGGTCCCTATGTTTCTTACAGAAGTACCTAAAACTGGGTGACCTACAAAGACTAGAGGTTTATTTGGCTCAGAATTCTGATGTCTGGAAAGTCCAGAGGCAAGAGACTGGCATCAGGCCGGCCATAGCATGGCTGTCAGAAGCAGAGAGAATAGCAAGCACATGCAGAGAGAGCATGGTGTTTGCTCAGTGTGGGTTTCCTAGTCTCATTTTCTCCTCTCATAAACCCATCAAGGCTCAGTCCATAATCCAAAATTATAAAAAGAAACCCTCTACCAGTCATAGTCATAGCTCCGCCCTAACCCACTAATCTCTTCCCAAGCTGCAATTTCAACATCATATCTGGATCAAGTTCTTATCCTCTTAATCTCATCACTATGGCTCAGCACATGTGGCAGAAGGGTGGAGGTGTGTTCAAACTGTAGCACTTGCATTTTTGATTTTCATTTCCCTAATAAATGTGGAGCATCTTTTCATGTGATTATTGGCCAATTGTCTTTTTTTTTTTAAATTTGTCATGTGGCATGTATTCCCACCAGAGAGAAACCATTTCTCCTTTCTCCCCTTGGAATTTTGGACATCATGCACACATGCCTCACAAGTTTTTTGAGCCACCAGGCCTGGGACTCAAACTATGCAATCAGTCCTTTAGGATCTAGCTCACTTAACACCATGCCACCAGCTAGCCCCAACTGTGTATTTTCTTTAGAGAAATATTTATTCAGATCCTTTACCCATTTTTCAAATTATATGATCTATTTTTAGGTTTTTGCCAAAGGGCATGTGTACTCACTGGAGAGAGACAGAGACAGAGAGAGGAAAAGTGAAAAATCATCCCCTGGGGGAATGGCCATGCCACAGTCTCTTCTTCTCCATTCTCTTCTCAGGAATTTTTGGGCATGCACACATACCCACACGGCTTATTTTCCAAATCACCAGGCCCCAGACTTGAACCACAGAGATGGCCATGTGGGATCTAGTGTGTTAACCACCATGCCACTTGCTGACCCAAGAGAAGCATTTTCTGATCACCCTATAAATAGCAGTCCTTTACCCCCAAGCCTAGCATAGTCTTCTCTATTCTCCTATCCTACTTCTCTATAGTACGTATCACCACATCATCGTTCTATATATGTCTGTATCTTTGTTTTGTTTACTGTCTACTTTTCCTTGTGTAGAATATAAGCTCCAATAAAGCTGTTTATTCATTGGACGAATATTACTGACTCACTACTAGGGGCAATGTTCTAGATGCTGGGATCCAACAATGAAAAACACAGATCAAAATCCCTGTTCTTCTGGAACTTACAGCAGAGAGAGACTGCCAATAAATAAATACAAGTAAAACAGATAGTATCTCAGTAGTGATATGTGTTATAGGGAAATCAGTGGAAGGAACATAGGGGTGGAGGGAAGGGAAGTGGGAGGTGGATGAACATCCAGGGATAAAGAGCAGACGTGTGGGCTGAGCAAGTCTAGAGGTCAGAGGTCAGTGTACAACATGAGAGTTGTAGTTAGTCAAATTATCTTGTATGGGGGACCAGCAGGTGGCATGGTGGTTAGGGCGCTGGACACTCCCACATGGCCAACCATGGTTCGGGTCCTGGACCTGGTAGCTTGCTTTCTCACTTTCCTTCTCTGTGTGTGTGTGTCTCTCTCTGGTCAAAATAGAAGATAAATGAATGAATAAATAAAATGAAATAATTCTTTAAAAACAATTTAAAAAATTGTCTTGTATTAGGGGTTTTTGTTAGACAAGTAGATTTTAGCTGCTCCTGTCACAAAACAGTACGCGGGATGATGTTAATTCCTTCAGACGTGTAACTATTTTACTATCTGTATATCTGCATAAAACCAGGTTGTAAATTTTAAATATACATAATACAATTTATTTTAAAAGCAGAAATGTAGAGGTTATTGATGTTCTCCAATTTTGATGGAGAAAGGGACATGGAAACCTGATCAGCATAGATTCAAGTCAATAGCGAGGAGAGAAATTAAAACAAAATCTATAATGAAATAACACAATTATTTTAGGGGTTTTACTATAAAGGTGAACAGAGAGTGTGAAGAAACGGCATGTTTGTATGTTGCCCAAAATTATCCAGGAGAGATGGAAACGAGGTGTTGTGGGAGAAAGACGAGAACACCGTCGAGCTGTGTTCTTTAGTGGGTCTTGCGAAGGGTTGGAGTCTAGCACCCGAATGGAGGGGCGGGACTTAGGCTGAGACTAAACTGAGGTGATGCAAGTAGTTAAAGAACTCGCCCCAGGAAATTTCATCTGGCGGCCTAGTATCATGGATCTTCCCCCGATCGTCTGTAAACGGAGTCTATATCTGCGTGGGAGACAGTCAAATGGGTTGTCATTTGACTGTAATCTAGAAATACAGTTCGGGTTTAAGTTCTGACTCGTTATGATTTCCAAAAGGTTGCGGCAATGATTATTTTACTTGGAACCATTTTTAATGTGACACAACAGGATGCCAACTCAAATTCATGAACATTTTAAATGCATATTCGTGCTGCTTATCTGACATTTCTACTTTGAGGAATTTACCCAATAGATCAGTTTTGACAAATGTGCAATATTATATATAGAAGGATGATCATTGCAGCATGATTTGCATTCACGGACAACTGGAAACTACTTAAACACAGATGATTGGCTACATAAACTAGGAACAGACTTATGACGGGATACTCTCTATTCCAAAGAGTGATAGACCTGGGCTAGAGGGTTCCTCTGGCATAGGAAGACTTTAAGTTTGTATTCTATATAATTCTGAATTATATAATTTTCTTATAACAGGCATGTCTCAATATGTTAATGTTATGGTTAGAAATATGTATATTGAGGAACCTCCATAGCATACTCCATCATGGCTGTACTGATTCACAGTCCCAACAGCGGTACATGAAGTCAGTTCCGCTTTCTCTGCATTCTCTTCAGTATTTGCTATTTTCTGGATTTTGTGTGTGTGTGTGTGGGGGGAGGGGGCAGTTGAGAGGTTAGTAGCCGTTCTAACTGGAGTATGGTTGTATCACAGTATGATTTTGATTTTGATTTC